TAGGTGGCACACTAAGCTATGCTTGTCACTCCAGATCGTGTCGTGAAGTTATAATTCAGTTTAGAAAAATAAGTTGTTTGCAAGCCCTTTTTCTTGCCAGGTGTAGCAAATATTTAAAGGCTAGTGCAAGAATTCTGTGTTCTGGGCATTTACCCCTGGACACATACTGTACTACCCCAAGCCTTAGTACTGCTTGGTGCACCGTCCATCTCTGTTCAGCTGTAGTTAGTAGCTGTCAGCCTCTCATAGAGTTTAACAAGTTGCTGGCAGCAGGTCTGGAAGGTGAACCTGTGCCTTCCACCTGCCCCTAAACACTGGGATCGCATGCAGAAGGGGGCTAAACACCTTATATGCATGGGGCCTTAATGATTTCTTGTTGTGTGCCTATGCCCTGTCTGCTGTAGGCCCAGTTTTAAACAGGGTGAGGCTGTCAGTAGGTCATATTCTATAGCCTGCACTCCATGCAAAGCAAGGTGTCATCTGGCAGGTCTCAAAGAGGAGGACATATAATAAAAAATATGGCAGTTGATATTAATATACAGATTGCAGGGGTTGAAAAAAAACTCAGGGGTATTTAATTGCATACATAACTGATGGCCATATTTATTGTTCACAAAGGTTTTATCAGTTATTTGGATCACTGACCCTGTATGACTGTCAGTTTATGGACTATTAACCACTTCTTGACTGCGCTATAGCCGAATAACAGCTACAGTACGGTTGTCCAGTTCTGGGAGGGCGTCATATGATGTCCTTCCAGAAGGGCCCCCCCCCCCTGTGCTTCCCCAGCGGCGCGCACCCAGCGCTCTCTGTGATTGCTGTGCTGATCACATGACATGGTAAAGGTCCAATCACAGCTGCCTTTTATCACATGATCAGCTGTTTCCAATCACAGCTGATCACCATGTAAATACACTTATCGACAGTACTTTCCTGATGCTGTCACAGTGCTGCCAATCTGTGCCATTAGTGCCCATCAGTGTCGCCTATCAGTGCCCATCATTGACACCTATCAGTGCAGCCTCATCAGTGCCTCTTCATCAAGTGTGAAAAAGTAAAAAACGTTAACAATCCAAGGGAAGTTGTTACTGTGCTTTTCTGTTTAGGATGTGCGATCAGTAAACATATAGTTGCAGGAAGAGCACAGACATGGCTTTTTTCAGGACCTGGAAACTGAAATGGCTTTCTTTTCCATCAAATGGAAAAGTGTTAAAGCTGAACTAAATCCATAGACATAACAGTTTCCCAAAACAGTTAAATTCAAGGCATGCCATGAATGATACATGTCACTGTTGCTCCTGCTCTCATCTGAACTGTCAAACCATGAAATGGCTGGTGTCATAACTGATCACATGTGCAGCACCATAGAAACTGCAGTTCAAACAGAAGCTAAGATGGCAACTTTCTTGGTGGTAAAGGACAGGAGGGTTTTGTTCCCCTTTAATTGTGCTGAGAAATCATAAAGGTTCCTCATTAACAAGCAGTAACTTCAATTTTATCACGTGAATAGAAACATTTCAAGACCCTATGACAGGACCATACTTGGGAATTCATAGCACATTATGGGGTTGATTTACTAAAGGCAAATAGACTGTGCACTTTGCAAGGTGCAGTTGCATTCTGCAAGTGCAGTTGCTCCAGAGGTTAGTAAATGAGGTAAAGCTTCACTTTACATAGAATACCCAATCACATGCAAGGAACATTTTTAAAAAAAAAACAGCGTTTTTGCTTGCACATGATTGGATGTTGGAAGTCAGCAGAACTTCTGCTCATTTATTAAGCTCTGGAGCAACTGCACTTGCAGAATTCATATGCACTTTGCAAAGTGCACAGTCTAGTTGCCTTTAGTAAATCAGTCCCTATGTTTCACTGGAATGAAAAAGGCTGTGCGTACCTGATTATTGTAGTATCTTTTTCAGTGAGCAACATTTGTTACATTGTAAGTGTTGTATTTACATTCTCACATGCAGGGTGAAAAGGATTGGACATCAAAATAACTTTAGCCCATTTCCACCTGTATCAAAGGAGAGGCATTTGTCCTGGCTATCTGATTTATTGCATAGGCTCCTTAGCCACTTGCCAACCACGCTAAAGTCATATGACGTCCTCCCAGAATGCGCTCCCGGCGGCGCGCATCCTGGCGATCTCCATGATTGCTGTGTCCTACAGACAGCTGATCACATGATGAGATAAAAGGCCAATCACAACGACCTTTTACCACGTGAGCAGCTGTGTCCAATGACACAACAGATCACAATGAAAATACAGTTGCCAGTTATCAGCAGCACTTTCCTAATGCTGTCACAGCGTGAAGAAAGTACTGCCGCTAACCGGCAAATAACAGAGAGGACATCTGTACCGACCATCGGGGCCATCACCATCCTTAAAGCTGAACTCTGGGCTCCCTCCACCCCGTCGAACAAATTACTAGCATAAAAATAGAAAGAAAATGTAAAACCCTAGCTAAACTTCCCTTTTACTCCTGAAATACTGTGGCCATATTACTTTTGGGTCTGAGTCTTCTATCATCTTTTATGCATGGGAGGTAGTCCTTCATTAGGTGTCCATGTCTGCATGATTAGTATATTTCCTATTGGCTTGTCAATGGCAGGGTCCTCCCAAGATCCAGAAAAGAGTATAGTGCAAAGATACTGTGCAAGGGAACTAGTCTGCAGTCCTGGATTACCAGTCCCAGGACCTACAAACTATGCCAGAGAGGGATCTGGATGGCAGACTTACATGAGTAAAACTCTGCAGGTATTTTGAAAAGGGAGTCTGAGTGGGAGTTGGGTTACATTTTGCAGACATTAACCGCTTCCTGTCAACCCTATAGCAGAAATGCTGCTACAGGGTGGCACGGGTGCGCAAAATTACGTGTATATATGTGATTTTGCATTTCAGGTAGGGGGCCCATTCACGGCCGCAGCTGTAAATCACTGGGTCCCAGCTGGTAATTACTTAATTAACGGCGTCCAGTGATTTCCGAAGATCTCTGACGGGGGAGGACGACTGTTTTGTTTACTAACAGTCCTCCTCCCTGTCATCTCGGGCACACTGCTTTGGATGGCTGTACACAGCATAGCCTTCAAGAGCAGTGTGCTTACAGTGAAGCACACTGACACGGCCCCATAGTAAAACACTCCCTGCACACAGTTAACCCTTTGATCGCCCCTCATGTTAACCCTTCCTGCTCAGTGCCATTAGTACAGCGTCAGTGCTTTTTTTTCTTTTTAGCACTGATCACTGTATTGGTGTCACTGGGGATGTCAGTGACACCAAGTCAGTTCCCCCCTAGTATCAGAATGTCCAGCGCAGTCCTGCTGTAAGTCGCTGATCGCCGCCATTACTAGTAAAAAAAAAAAATTCCAGTATATATACCGCAATCTGTAAACGCTAAAACTTTCACATAAACCAGTTAATTTACACGTATTGGGATTTTTTTTTAGCAAAGACGTAGCAGAATATATTTTGGTATAAATTTATGACGAAATGTGATTTTTTAAAAAAAAATTTACTGGACATGTTTAATAGCAAAAAGTAAAAAATATTGTTCTTTTATCACAATTGTTGGTCTTTTTTTTATAGCGCAAAAAAAATAAAAACCGCACAGGCGATCAAATACAACCGAAAGAAAGCTCAATTCGTGGGAAAAGAAGAATGTAAATTTCATTTGGGTGCAGCATTGCATGACCGCGCAATTGTCAGTTAAAGTAACGCAGTGCCGTAATGCAAAAAATGGCCTGGTCAGGAAGGGGGGTAAATCCTCAGGAGGGAAGTGGTTAACAAATACAGCAGCTTTTATAAGGTACACCTGCTGTGTCATGGAGGAAAAATGAACAAAGCTGCTGCAGCCTATTGCAGCATCCTCCCAGCATCCTATAGCTGAATACCAGGCTGTTCTAACAGGCTGCTGGAAGTATGCATAGGCATCTTTATCTGCCTCCCGCCTGCCATATAGTAATATGACAGACGCAAGGCGGTTCTCTCGTTTGGGAGGACGTCATATGACGTCCTCCCATTCTCACCGCGCATGCGCGGGCTCCGGGAGCGCGCAGCGCAGCTATCAGCGGTGCGCTGTGTCCCTCGGACATAGCGGATCACCGATCAACGGAAAGAGCTGAAGATGTCGGCTCGGTCATGTGATCAGCTGTGTCCAATCACAGCTGATCACATGTAAACAGGGAAATGCCAGTTATCGGCATTTTCTCTCCTCTCGAGCGGTCACGCTGACAGCTCGAGAGGATAGGAGAGCCGGTAATCGGCATTCCTCTAAGGCAGTGGTGGGCAACCTTTTTTTTCAACTGAGCCAAATCTCGCCAAAACCACGATTGAAATTTATTTTGAGAGCCACATTTTTAAAACTGAAAATACATAGGATGGTACACTGTTTTTAGTTTCAATAAGTTTTTATAGTAATTCATCCCCCATATAGTAATTCATCCCCCATAGTAATTCCTCCCCCATATAGTAATTCATCCCCCATAGTAATTCATCCCCCATATAGTAATTCATCCCCCATATAGTAATTCATCCCCCATAGTAATTCATCCCCCATATAGTAATTCATACCCCATAGTAATTCATCCCCCATAGTAATTCATCCCCCATATAGTAACTCATCCCCCATATAGTAACTCATCCCCCATATAGTAATTCATCCCCCATATAGTAATTCATCCCCCATAGTAATTCATCCCCCATAGTAATTCATCCCCATATAGTAATTCATCCCCCATAGTAATTCATCCCCCATAGTAATTCATCCCCCATATAGTAATTCATCCCCCATAGTAATTCATCCCCCATATAGTAATTCATCCCCCATATAGTAATTCATCCCCCATAGTAATTCATCCCCCATATAGTAATTCATCCCCCATATTAATTCATCCCTCATATAGTAGTAGTAAGTAAGTAGCAAGTAGTAAGCCAAGTCCCTCCTGTGTCAATTCACTTACCTTTGCTCCGCGCGTTCCTCTCGCCGTGTTTCCCGCGCCGTTCCGGTCTTCAGGGCGGACTGTGAGAGGAGCCTAGCTCCCCTCACGTTCGTCACGCTGCCCCGCCTACACACATCCTGACAGCCAATCACTAGCTATCAGGATGTGAGTGGCAGCGAGACTGGCCAATCATTGCTGGGCTAGCTGCAGAGTCCTCGGCCGCCGAGAGAGGAGGGAGGGGAGCGGGCGCCCAGCACACAGAAGAGCCGCATTAAAATCTGTAAAGAGCCGCATGTGGCTCGCGAGCCGCGGCTTGCCGACCACTGCTCTAAGGGGACATCTACACAGATCATCAGAGCACTGATGATCAGTGTGCCCTGATGATCTGTGTAGCCCCAGCAGCGCCACCTGTCAGTGTCCATCAGTTCCAGTTCTGTGCTCATCCATGCCACCTGCCAGTGCCACATTTCAGTGCCACATCAATGCCACATATCAGTGCCCATCTGAGCTGCCTTTCAGTGTCACCCGCCAGTGCCACCTATCAATGCCAGTCAGTGCCAACTATCAGTGCCAGTCAGTGCCGCCTATCAGTGTGCATCAGTGCTGCCTATCAGTGCCAGTCAGTTCCGCCTATCAGTGCCATATATGAGTGCTGCCTTTCAGTGCCCATCAGTGATGCCTGTCAATGCCCATCACTGCCACCTACCAATGCCTCCTCATCAGTGCCACCTATCAGTGTCTATCAGTGCAGCCTATCAGTGCCCCTCACTACACCCTTATTAGCACACATCAGTGAAGGAGAAAAATCACTTATTTACAAAATTTTATAACAAAAACTAAGAAAAAACTTTTTTTTTTCAAAATTTTCAGTGGTTTTTGGTTTGTGTAAGAAAAAATAAAAAACCCAGAGGTGATTAAATACCACCAAAATAAAGCTCTATCTGTCCCAAATAAATGATAAAAATTTAATATGGGTACAGTGTTGCATGACCGCGCAATTGTCATTCAAAGTGTGACAGCGCTGAAAGCTGGAAATTGGCCTGGGCAGGAAGGGGGTATAAGTGCCCTGTAGGCAAGTGGTTAAAGGCTTGTTTAGAGTTGCAGATGGGAGCCATTAAAAGTATGTAGTTAAATTGTATTATTAGTGCCCCTCTCAAGCTGCAGTGGCAGTGGATGAGAGTGTTCACTCCCATAGCAGAAATGATTGCCTCTGTCCCATTTGATCAGCGGTACCGCCACCAACTGCAACCCAGTCAAGCAAATAAGGCATCGACAACCTACAGGAGTTTTGTTTTTTTATGCCCCCTTGGTAGAGTATCTTCAAAGCAGTAAGTGCAAAGTGTAGACATTCATCATTCCTCAGTTCAAAGCATTGAGAATAGGAAAAGATGGCTTATGAGCAGTTGATACAAAATGCATGATTGTAACAGAACGTCAAAATGATTTATAATTTGTGTTCAGATAAAGTAATGCCCAAAGGTCTAAGTGTGCTCAGAGGCTGCTACAGCGAGGTGTGGGGAAAGACTATTTCTTAGCCACATTCACTTAATGATTTGCTGCTAGTTCTCTGCATGTGAAAAAAACTATCACTAGAGAATTCTGTATCGATTGCTCATGCTGTCATAACAAGCAAAACTTGTGAAATAATGATGAGTGGGCGCTGCCCTAGAGCTTTTTTGTATTGAATCTGCTAGCACAGAAACAACTAAACTGCACCGGCACCTTCAGGACATAGTGTACCTGTACATGTTATACCTGCTAGGAGCATTACTATGCCGTATTGTATCCAAGGGACCTTCCCTTTGCTAGCTGTGCCTTTTTAACTCTACTAAGTCACACTACTGCCAAGTATCGTGGCAGAGACTGAACCGTTAAAAATCAAGTCAATCCATAACCCATATTTCAAATAGCATGAATTTCCCTTCAATTGTTGTCAGTGAAACCTGCTCATTGTTGTTCTGTACTTTTGTTTCCCACTGAAGCCATTAAAAAAGATGTCATTTTCTGTTCGTCGGATTCTCCTTTTACTACAGTCAGGTCCATAAATATTGGGACATCGACACAATTCTAACATTTTTGGCTCTATACACCACCACAATGGATTTGAAATGAAACAAACAAGATGTGCTTTAACTGCAGACTGTCAGCTTTAATTTGAGGGTATTTACATCCAAATCAGGTGAATGGTGTAGGAATTACAACAGTTTGCATATGTTCCTCCCACTTGTTAAGGGGCCAAAAGTAATGGGACAGAATAATAATCATAAATCAAACTTTCACTTTTTAATACTTGGTTGCAAATCCTTTGCAGTCAATTACAGCCTGAAGTCTGGAACGCATAGACATCACCAGACGCTGGGTTTCATCCCTGGTGATGCTCTGCCAGGCCTCTACTGCAACTGTCTTCAGTTCCTGCTTGTTCTTGGGGCATTTTCCCTTCAGTTTTGTCTTCAGCCAGTGAAATGCATGCTCAATCGGATTCAGGTCAGGTGATTGACTTGGCCATTGCATAACATTCCACTTCTTTCCCTTAAAAAACTCTTTGGTTGCTTTTGCAGTATGCTTTGGGTCATTGTCCATCTGCACTGTGAAGCGGCGTCCAATGAGTTGTGAAGCATTTGGCTGAATATGAGCAGATAATATTGCCTGAAACACTTCAGAATTCATCCGGCTGCTTTTGTCAGCAGTCACATCATCAATAAATACAAGAGAACCAGTTCCATTGGCAGCCATACATGCCCACGCCATGACACTACCACCACCATGCTTCACTGATGAGGTGGTATGCTTAGGATCATGAGCAGTTCCTTTCCTTCTCCATACTCTTCTCTTCCCATCACTCTGGTACAAGTTTATCTTGGTCTCATCTGTCCATAGGATGTTGTTCCAGAACTGTGAAGGCTTTTTTAGATGTTGTTTGGGAAACTCTAATCTGGCCTTCCTGTTTTTGAGGCTCACCAATGGTTTACATCTTGTGGTGAACCCTCTGTATTCACTCTGGTGAAGTCTTCTCTTGATTGTTGACTTTGACACACATACACCTACCTCCTGGAGAGTGTTCTTGATCTGGCCAACTGTTGTGAAGGGTGTTTTCTTCACCAGGGAAAGAATTCGGTCATCCACCACAGTTGTTCTCAAGGTTTTTGGTGTTGCTGGGCTCACCGGTGCATTTCTTCTTTTTGAGAAGGTTCCAAAGAGTTGTTTTGGCCATGCCTAATGTTTTTGCTATCTCTCTGGTGAGGTTGTTTTGTTTTTTCAGCCTAATGATGGCTTGCTTCACTGATAGTGATAGCTCTTTGGATCTCATCTTAAGAGTTGACAGCAAAAGATTCCAAATGCAAGTAGCACACTTGAAATGAACTCTGGACCTTTTATCTGCTCATTGTAATTGGGATAATGAGGGAATAACACACACCTGGCCATGGAACAGCTGAGAAGCCAATTGTCCCATTACTTTTGGTCCCTTAACAAGTGGAAGGCACATATGCAAACTGTTGTAATTCCGACACCGTTCACCTGATTTGGATGTAAATACCCTCAAATTAAAGCTGACAGTCTGCAGTTAAAGCACATCTTGTTTGTTTCATTTCAAATCCATTGTGGTGGTGTATAGAGCCAAAAATGTTAGAATTGTGTCGATGTCCCAATATTTATGGACCTGACTGTATATATAATGAAGAATGCACTAGGGCACGGGTGTCAAACTGGTGACCCTCCAGCTGTTGCCAAACTACAAGTCCCATGAGGCATTGCAAGATTGACAGCTACAAGCATGACTCTCAAGGACAGAGGCATGATGGGACTTGTAGTTTTACAACGCTGGAGGGCTGGACAACAGGCGTTTGTACTACCTTGTCCTTGGCCTACCTTCTCACACAGTGCAAGCAATCCATATGTCCATTTCCCTAAAGCTGGCCATACATGGATCGAAATCTGGTTGGTTTAGCAGGGACCAGCCAAAGTTTGATCCGTGTGGGGCCACTGCAGTTAAACAGAAGTTGATCTTTTGATTAACTTCTGTTTAATTGCCCTGTCAGATAAAAGAGGCTCGATCAGCGGCACACACAATAGACTGCAGCACTGATCAGTGTATTCTGACTGAGGGAAATTCTTCCCAGCTGTTAGAATACAATAGCACAGTGGGGAGGATTCCCCCATCCTCAAATGTGTGGCTGGAGTAATTGGGTCAGTTTTTTCATTCAACCTGCTGGTTGAAAGGAAAAAAAAAAACTGACCAATGTATGGCCAGTTTTTTTGTGTTGACTTATCTGTCTAGCAAATTAAGAGGATACAGTATCTCACAGAAATTTTTTAAATATTTTATTCTAACTTTTCATGTGACAACACTGAAGAAATAACACTTTGTACAATGTAAAGTAGTGAGTGTACAGCTTGTATAACAGTGTAAATTTGCTGTCCCCTCAAAATAACTCAAACACACAGCCATTAATGTCTAAACCGCTGGCAACAAAAGTGAGTTAGATAGAAGCATGAGGTAGGGCATAAAACCTGCACCTCTCTTCTGAACAAGAGTAGAACCTGCTCCTAATTACCAAAGTGGACACAAGTTCCTTTGTTATTTAGGAGCAAATTGCTCTGTATTCTTTGCTGTGTCTGCACCAGACATGGCATGAAGAGCTGGACCAGCTTTGACTGGTTTCCTATGTCTGTCCCCCCCCCCCCCCACCCCCACCCTGAGTTTGTTAGGGCTAACAGTTGGATATATAGACAGGGAAAATTAGCTTTTCTCCTTTTTTTATTATTTTTCTTCTCTTATCCTTCCCCCTCTAAATATATACATTGTGGGAGATTTACTAAAGCTGGTTCACTCAGAATCTGGTACAGCTGTGCATGGTAGCCAATCAGCTTCTAACCTCAGCTTGTTCAATTGGGCTTTAGCAATACCAGGAAGCTGATTGGTTTCTATGCAGAAGTGCACCTGATTTTGCACTCTCCAGCTTTAGTAAATCAACCCCATTGGGGCTAATTTACTAAGGGCAAATAGGCTGTGTACTGCAGGTGCACTTGGAAGTGCGCTGCAAGTGCATTGAAAGTGTAGTTGCTCTAGATTTGAGGGGAACATGCAAGGGAAAATGATTGGATGAAAGAAATCAGCAGAGCTTCACCTCATTTCAGAGTTCCCCCTCAGATCTAAAGCAACTGCACTTGCAATGCACTTGAAGTGCACTTGCAGTGCACAGTATACTTACCTTTAGTAAATCAACCCCATTGTGTCCAGTGCTCATTTCTCTTATAATGAGAAACTACAAACTAAGCAGAGATACCTCTGTTTAGTAAACTGATCTTTTACTGTAATCTCGCGAGATTATAGTAAAATCAGCCGTTTTCCAGAGTTTGTAGACCGTTCTCCAGCGTTTGGAGACTGTTCTCCCTTCGTTCGGAGAACTGCTTCATAAACTGCATTCACAGGAGAACTGTGTTCTCCGAGAATGCCGGAGAACTGAGCAGCGATCTATTACCGCTGGTTCATAAACGGACACCATAGAGAGATAAAAAAAAAATGTTTGTAAAGAAAAAAAAAAAAAGATAAATAAATATTAAAAAGAAAAAAAAAAAAAAACCTAGATCAAGGTTTGATCTAGTTCAGTGCCAGGGTTAGTGC